TACAAAACCTGAGTTATGGAGTTCCCCCTGAGTCTAGAGCTAGTTGCCTTATGGAAGAAGCTTGTGTATCTATCCCCCTCTTTGAGCCATTTGATTCTAGAACATTGAAACCAGTATTTTTCTTCTTGTTTTAGGACTTGTGCTAAGTTTGCTTTTGCCTGAATGGTAAGAGAATGGGTTTCCTCCACAGCATCTAAGTCTGAGATTGTTGACGTTTATGCCCTTATTGGGTCTCTAAAGTTTGAAGGCAAGTTCCGGCTCCATTGTTTCACGGAGGCTTTGAGTATTTGTAGCTTTCGCGTTAGCCTGAAGCCAGCCCACCCAGTGACAAAGACAAAAGACCAAGTTGAAGAGAACATGTGGGCAAATGATGGTTCTTCCAACCAAACAAGCTCTAGCCTAAATGGTTTGTTTGAAGGAGGGGTTGGGTTGGTGTCTAAAAGGATTGGTTTGTGATCAGAGGTGACTTTTGGGAGGGCCCTGAAACAAGTTCCTAGGAAAGAGGATTCCCAGGAGAGGTTGCTGAGGAAGTAATCAATCTTGGTCATTATGGGGATTGGGGGGCGGTTGGACCAGGTGAAGGATGAACATCAATGAGGGGGATACTTTGGCCACCATTAGATTTATTGTAGGCCATCTAACTGAGTTGAAATCCCCACCCACCCCCCCCCCCCAAAAAATCCAGGGGATGTGGGGAGGAGAGGCCGAATGGGAGAGTTCTAGCCAAAAGTTTTCTCCAATGGAAGGGTTATTAAGGCCATAAACAAATGTGGTCCTAAAGAAAAAGTCATAGGATATCCAACGAAAAGAAGAGGTTATAGAGTATTCAAAAATCTGGGATGACAGACTGTTGTAAACACTTGGGTTCTAAATGACCCAGATGCCCCCAGAGGCTCCCTAGGAGTCTTTAACGACCCATGCACAAGGATTTCTACCCCAAATTTTCCTGATCGAGGCTAGGTCAGGGGATGGGAGTTTGGCTTCAAAAACTGCAAGTATATCAGGAAATTGAGAGGAGACTAGGGAATGAACAGCACTACACTTTGCATTGTTGCCAAGTCCTCTAATGTTCCAACAGATGATTCTCATCTAGGTGAGTTTGGATGGCGTGAGGATTTGCTGGAGGATCTTCTCTGCTCAAGACTAGTGAATAAAATGAAGAGAGGAAGATCTTCTCCTGGGGGTGTCATAAGTCACCCCAAAGTGCAATTTTGTGAGTTCCCTAGTTCCCGTAAAAGGCTTACGAGAGGGAGGTACTTGGGGTGCGTCTGTTGCAGCCCTAAGGTGTATGGAGATGTCAGTGATTTCTCCTGCGAATGCGAGACCACAATCTTCTCTCATTTCTGCCAATAGGGGCTAAGCTTGGTCTATTCTTTCGAGCTCTCTAGAGTCTACTAAGATAGTGGACTGAATATCTTGAGTTGGAATCAGAGGTGGAGGGAGGATTATGTGTCGGATGGGGGGAATGCAGTCTCTGAGAAGGACTGTGCAGGAAGGGAAAAGAAATAGTTTAAAGGTGGAGACGGTGACGGGGAGGGTAGGGGGCAGAAATAGTTTAAAGGGGGAATGCATGGGGGAAGACAACCACTCGGAAGCCTGTGCGGCATTAAGGAAAAATCTCATATCTAGGGGAAGGGGAACCAAGTCGTCCATATCAGAGAAATGGATACCAGTTAAAATCTCATATCTAGGGGAAGGGGAACCAAGTCGTCGATATCAAAGAAATGGAAATCAGTTTCGAGAGGATTGAGTAGGGTTGAGACAAATGGGTTAACGGGGATGGAGTTCTCCAGACTGGGATCAGAGAAAACCAAGAGTGGGGGCGGGGGGGCGAGGGCGCGTGGAAAGTGGTGTAGGGGTTGGGAACCTGGGGTAGTGCACGTATTGAGGAAGGATAGGGGGGTAAGGATGGTAGAAGATTTGGATGCCTGGGGAGGAGGGGGCTATGGGGGGTGAATTGTTGTTAGGAGGACTAGGTGTGGGTTGAAAAGAGATGTTAGGTGCGACCTACTGGGGTAAGCAAGGCATTGCTTTGGGGGGGGGCGAAGATGGGTTGTTGCATGGGTGGGGAGCAATGCCAAGAATGGGTTAGAAAGGGAGGCGCTTGATGGGTTAGAGAGGAGGTTAGCTGGATAAAGAGAGGTAGTTTAAATGGTTCCATCGGCAGAGGACGGGAAGTCAGGGCTAGTGGTACTTGTCCCACCTCTTCTTGGCCTACATCCCTTATGGTCAGTTCCCTTTCTCTACTCCGGGACACTTAACCCCCTCTGCTTTCCCGTTTTCTCCCTCTCCTACTCCATCAGCGGTTGTTTTCCCTCCTGCTCCTCTTGGCTCCCTACCTTATTCTCCTCCTGGTTCTCTTTCTTCCTCTCTACACCCACTCTCTTCGGCTTTGCCTGAGCATGCTACTCCGCCTCTCCCTTCTCTTCCCTCTGACTTGTACACTTCGAACCCTTCCTCTCCTTCTCCCGACCTAGCTATCATGGATCTCGCTAACCTCCTCGAGCCTCCAGATATACAAGAACTTCCGGAAAAGATAGACGGTGCCTCGGAGATGGCTCTGGACTCCTTGGTACCGGAGGACATAGCTCAAGAGACCACCACCCTTTCCTCTCAAGCTTTGCCAAGTGAAGTGACTACGGAGGACGGCAGAGATGAGCACCAAAGCGAAGCAAACAGGGAGGGGTCAAACATGGTCGATGAAAGGATGCTTTCAATGTACAGACTCATGGGATTCGAATATGATGGCCCTGAAGGACCTGCCCACAGGTTTATGACAGCTGACGCTCAGAGTAGGTTGCAGGTGAGACTCAGAGGACAAAAGGAACTCTGCAATCTTTTCTCTTCCTTACCTTTCACCGGACATCCCTTAGACCTCTCTTCGCTCTCGACTTCAGAGGACCGCCCGAGGAGGTCTTAGATTAGCCTCCTCCCACCTCCATTCTATCAAAAAATGAAGGTTCTTATCTGGAACGTGAGAGGCTTAAGATAGGCCTCTAGGAAGTCCGTGGTCAGAGCTTTCACTTCCAAACTGTCCCCCACTATCCTAGCCCTATTAGAAACAAAACTACCTACCCCTAACCTCCAGCTCATCCGTCGAGTGTGGGGCAGAAGGCCATGTCAATGGATTTCGCTGCCGGTCGATGGGTCTTCAAGTGGGATTTGGGTGGTTTGGGACCCCTCTGACCTGTCTCTAATCAACCACTTCATCAAAAATTTCTCAGTTACCCTCTTACTCTCCAACATCTCTGATGGTGTTGAATGGAAATTTTCGACAGTTTACGGGCCAAACTCATGCTCTCTCAGGCAAAGGTTTTGGTCAGAATTGGACCACATTTCCTCCCTACCACATCCAATTTGGTGTGCAGGAGGAGACTTCAATGTCACTCGTTGGTTCTACGACAGAAATTCTTCAACCTCGATCTCTCTGGAGATGAGGGATTTCTCCGACTTTATTAGCCGCAATGATCTGTTCGACATCCCTCTTCAGGGCTGCCAATACACGTGGTCCAGTCATTCTACCAACCCTACCCTCTCCAAGCTAGACAGATTCCTCATCTCTGTTAGAGTGGAAGGAGAATTTCCCAAGAATTCTTTCTCTAGCGCTCCCCAAACCAGCGTCAAATCACTGCCCTATCCTCTTGGATACCAAAGCAATCTTTAGGGGCCTAGACCTTTCTGTTTTGAACTTCACTGGCTGCAAGAGCCTAATATCCACTCTCTTGTCCTAACCTGGTGGAACTCCTTCGCATCTCAGGCATCAGGTAGAGCAAGGTACATACTTCAAACCAAGCTCCAACTTCTAAAGGCTGCCCTGAAAACTTGGAGCAAACCCTCCCATGTCAACTTCTCCCTTATCAAAACAAACCTGTTAGAAACCATCAAAAACTTGGATGTCCTAGAGGAGACCCGCCATCCGGACACTTCAGAGCTGGAACTTAGAACCAAATCAAAACTGGACTACCTCTTAACCCTCAAAAAAGAAGAGACCTACTGGTACCAGAGATCTCGCGTCTCCTGGTTGAAAGGGGGGGACCACAATACAGCCTATTTCCATCGAATAGCCAACTGTCGTAGGAGAGACAACACAATATTGATGATTAAATCCAACAACAATTACCTTACACAACCGGGAGAAATTGAGCAAGAAATTCTATCGTTTTTCCAGTCCCTTTACTCTGCCCCCCCAGGCCCAAGACCTAGGATGACCTCCCTTGACTTCTTAACTCTCTCTGAAGACCAAGCCTTGTAGTTAGAGAGACCCTTTAATGAAGAAGAAATCATTCAAGCTCTCAATGCTCTACCCAAAGACAAGGCACCAGGTCCAGACAGATTCCAAATAGCCCCACTAAAGGCTTTTTGGGAGATCTTCCGTCTGGACTCCCTTCTCTTCTTCGAAGAATTCTTCAACAAAGGCACCCTCCATAAAGCCTTGAACGCCACATTCTTGGCGTTGGTCCCTAAGGTAGAAGGAGCCGAGGAAATTAAAGACTATCGACCAATTGGTCTCCTCAACTCTTCATACAAGCTCCTGGCCAAAACTTTAGCTACAAGGCTACAACATGTTTTGCCAACTGTTATCTCCTCCTCTCAATCTGATTTCCTCAGGGCAGACAAATTCTGGATGGGACATTGGTGGCACATGAATGCATCCATTCTAGACACCTTTCCAAGCAACCAGGCCTCATTTTCAAAATCAATTGGGAAAAGGCCTATGACCATGTGGACGTGGACTGGTTGATTTTGGATGAAACCATGGCCATAATGGGTTTCGGGGAGAAATGGAGAAAGTGGATGAGAGGCTGCTACTCCCATCCACATTTCTCAATCCTTATTAACGGGTCACTTAAAGGCTTCTTTCCGTCTTCGAGGGGACTCCGCCAAGGCGATACCTCTCTCCTTTGCTCTTTACGATAGCGACTGAAGTTTTTAGTCGCTCTATTTCTAGACTATTCCAGGCGTGATTGCTCACAGGCTTCAAGATCAGCAGACTAGGCCCCATGGTGTTGCATCTTCAGTATGCGGATGACACCCTTGTGTTCTTGGAGGCCTCCTTCAGAGAAGTGGACACCCTTAAATTGTTCCTCCATTGCTTCCAAAAGGCAACGCGATTCAAAGTGAATACGCTCAAGTCCAGAATGGTGGGTGTTGGTTTGACCACCGCACAAGTTCGTGACCTTGTGCCAGGTTGGGATTGCCAGGTGGAGGACCTCCCTACCAGCTACCTTGGCTTACCTCTGGTGCTCGGTAAACCTAAAAAAAGACACTGGTCGACAATTACAGACAAGGTAGATAGGCGCCTGGCAGGGTGGCAAGGCAGATTCCTTACAATGGCAGGGAGAGCGACTTTGATCCAAGCCACTCTCGCGAACTCGCCAATCTACCTCATGTCAATCCTCCACATGCCTGCTCTTGTGGCCAATCGACTCAACGAGCTCATGAGGAACTTGTTGTGGTAGGGGCAGGCAGAAAAGAAGAAATACAACCTTGTGTCCTGGGACATTGTGTGCCATCCTATAACCCAAGGTGGCCTAGGCATAAAAAACCACCGAATGCACAATGTGGCCCTTCTCGAGAAATGGTGGTGGCGTCTAGCCAACCTGCCGAGTGCTTGTAGGCCCTGGTCCTCAAGCACAAATACCACATCTCTGAGGATGCCTGGCTGTCTGATAGAATCCAGAAACACAAAGTTTTAGGTGCATGGAGATCTCTCGCCACTGCTTTTACTCTTTTCAAAAGGTCTATCAGATTCCTCCCAAAAGACGGAACAAGAGCCAATTTTTTGATTGATTTGTGGCTAGGATCCTCCCCCCTGAGGGAGGCCTTCCCCTCACCCTTCTCTCTAACTCGCAATGCTTCGCTACTGTTGCGGAGGAAGTGGTTCCCTCCGGGGATCGAAGAGTCTGGAGCCCTTCTTTCCGAAGGAGCCTAACAGAAGATGAATCCAATCAGTTCCAAGTGCACTCATCAATCTTACACTCTTTGTTTTTCCAGTCTCAAGGCAGTGACGCTATTGTTTGGACTCTCACACCTTCCGGAATTTTTTCGGTCGCCTCTTTCTATAAAAGCTTGACTCTCTACCTTCCTTGCACTCGAGTCTTTTGAGCTCGATGCATAATAGAGTGTGGGCATCCATAGCCCCACCTTAAGTAAAAACTTTCAATTGGCTTGCCTCCTCTCTCAATGCTCTAACGGTGGACAAACTCCAGAAAAGAGGGGTCCAGCTACCTAACAGGTGCGCTCTGTGTGAAAGTGAAGAGGACTTTGTGATTTCTCTTTCGAACTATGGGGCACAGTTCTGCAACTGTTTCGTATCAGTTGGATTACTCCCCATCGGTCAAGGACCTAATCTCTTGTGAACCACATTCCTGCTGGGCCAGAGCAGGGAGTATCCTTTGGAGGGCTATGGTAGCAGCTATCATCTAGTCCATATGGCTTGAAAGAAACTCTAGAATCTTTCGTGGAAGCAAACTCCAACCTTCAGCTATATATCACAGAGCTGTTTCTGTGGTTACATTTTGGGCCTCAAATCAAAAAACCTTTAAAGGTATACCAGGGAGTTTCTTCCTCCCCCACTGGGCCAACCTCCTTTATCTTCAACCTAGTCTGTTACAAACTTACAAAGCCAAATAACTGGCAGCCCCCCTCCCCCCCCCCCCCACGCAAGGAATGATCAAACTAAATTTTGATGGGTGCTCCTTAGGCCCAACAGGGGTTGGAGGAGTTTATAAAGACCACAAAGGCACTGTCCTCTTAACTCTGTCTGATTACATAGGCCTCAAGGACTCCACCCATGCCGAAAGTTTGGCCCTTTTGCACGCGCTCAAAAACTACAATCCGGAGTGGGGCCCACACCTCATTGTGGAAGGGGACTCTAAGAATGTCCTCGCCTGGAGCTAGTTCTTCAAACCCTCCACCGTGGTACCTTATTCCTATTTTTGATGAGATACATCACATTTGTAGGGCTATGGACGCCTCCTGGAGGCATACTTGGAGGACGTCCAACCACATCGCAGACTGGCTGGGGAAAGAGGGAGCTAGAAGACAAGGACAAGAAGTGCAACCCGGGTCCAATTTTTTTGACACAAGACTAAGGGCATACAGCTTCTACATCGCAGCTTGAGTTTTTGCACAGTTGTCCATTTTTTGCTCAAGAATTTTTTTGAGAGTTTTTTGTAAATCCTTATACAAGGGCGACTCTATAAGCCGTCTTTCCTGTTTCTTTAATCTACGTTGTAAAACCAAGTAACGGGGCAATGTAATTAGCCATTGACAAATCTGTTCTTGTGTTTTTACCAAGTCCTCTGCTGTGGGTGACTTAGGAACTCTACTTTTGCAATTTCTTACAATATTTATACAAGTTAACCTTTCCTCAAAAAAATATCATGAAGGTATAGGGGGTTAGGGGAGGGTTTGAAAGCTGGACTTCGGGCGTGTGAAGATTTAGCACAGGTGTCAACATTAAAAAAGGGGAGGGGTCAAAGGGTAATGGTTGATTGTTTAATGCAACCGCCTTTGGAGATTGAGCTGCCTCAGGAAGGGACACTTGAGTCGACACATGTCTAGGGTGGGGATAGGTGGAGGGTGTTTTGAGGTTCATGGCTTTAAGAGCATTTAATGGGAGATTTGATGATATGAAGAGAGTCCGCCTAGGTGCAGGACCTGGGCATTGAGCACCCGCCTAGGCACCCAGAAAACCACCTAGGCGGCCGCCCAGCGCCCAGGTCCTACGCCCTGCCCGGGGACGAAAATTCACTTCGGTGGGGGCATTTTTTGACCATTTGTTTATGCTAAAGGGCCCAAAATATTGGTTTTAGGTTCTTTTGAAACCTAAAACTTATTGGAGCCCATTTTAGAGAAAGAAATCCCCCAAAAAACTAATTTTTTGGTAATTCATAAGGATCAAACGGTTTCTCAAAATTATGAGATATTGATCAAAACATCACCCATTGATATTAGATTTAATTTTTGATATTTTATAAATCTATTGGGTTTTTTTTTAGAAGATTTTGAGTCCTTAAAAGCATCTTTGAGGTGGAAGTTTGGAGATTGAGAAATCAAACTCAAAGTAAGTGATTTTTTTTTTATGACTTAGCTTGTATAAATTGCATTATTTTGAGATGTCATCTTTGGGATCTAATAGGAATGGTAATCCCAGTTGGCTACAACCCAGAACCTAACAATAGAAATTGCATAAGATGCAATTTTTGTGAGAAGGATACAAAAAGAGGCATAAACCGATTCAAGAAACTTATTGCTGGTATCAAGGGGGATGTTGCCCCATGTAAAAAGACTCTTGATGCTGTTAAAGAGGAAATAACCAATTTTTTGAATATGGTAAAAATGAAAAAAAAAAGAGATTTGCCTCCATAGCAGAGATTAGGTCTGGGGTTCAAATAAATTATGATGATGATGATAGTGATGAGGATGGGATTGGGGAAGGATGTCAAGAAGTAGAACAATCCATTATCAGGGGAAAGGGAAAGAGACTTGTAATTGCTTCTGGTTCTAGGAGTAAGAAGCCTCGGGTTAGAGGCCCTATGGATAGTTTTTTGCCTCGGTCTGACCCTGAGGTTGCAGGAGAGAAAACAAAGAAGCAAACCACCATTGAAAATAGAATAAAGTTGTTTATTATCTTGCTACATGGTTTTATGAGGCAAGCATTCCTTTCAATACCGCTCACTTAAGCAGCTTCTATGTCACAGTAGAAGCAATTGGCCAATTTGGGCCTGGGATGAAACCCCCAACCCCATATGAGCGTTCAGAGCCTCTTTTGAAAAAAGCGATGAGTGTCACGAAGGAAGTTGTAGAAGTTAAGAACGATGCATGGCCTCAGTATGGGGTTTCTATTATGACTAATGCTTGGAGTGATAGGAAGAGAAGAAGTCAGATGAATTTGCTTGTGAATTGTCCTTTAGGGACTGTTTTTTTAGGACTATTGATGCCTCTGATCATATCCATGATGTCCATTATATATTCCAAGTTATAGAAAAAGGAATCAAGGAGGTTGGGGAGCATCTTGTTGTACAGGTTGTCACAGACAATGCTTCTCCTAATGTTGCTGCAACTAATTTGTTGCGCATAGCTTATCGTAGAATCTTTTGGACACCATGCCAACACATTGTATAGACCTCATGCTTGAGGCTCTTAGCGGTTTAACCGAGATATCAGGTGCAGTGAAGAAGGTAAAGTCAGTTACAAATTTCATTTATGGCCACCATCTCACCCTCAGCATGATGCGTAGATTTACAAAGAAGAAAGAGATTGTGAGGCCCGGGGTCACGAGATTTGCGACCTAGTACTTATACTTAGATAACATACATTCGAGGAGAGTGCAGTTGAGGCAGATGTTAACCTCGGATGACTAGAGAGCATGCAAGTGGTCCAAGGATCAGGTTGGAAAGAAGATGAGAGATATTATCCTTTTTAAGGCTTTTTGGTGAGGGGTGAAGGGCTCTTAAGGTATTTTTTCCTCTGGTTAAAGTCCTTCGCATGGTTGATAGTGACAAGCCTTCTAGGGGCTATATATATTAAGCTATGGAGAAATGCAAAAAAAAGAGCCAAAAATTTTGATAATGATGAGAACTGCTACAAGCATGTTTTAGAGATTATTGATGAGAAGTGGGACAGGCAGCTACATCGGCCATTGCATGCCGCTGGTTATTATTTGAACCCAGCTTTTTTTTATGTTGACAAGGGTATACACACAAATGACACAATTATGACTGGATTTAATAAGTGTGTAGATGTGCTAGTCCCTGGTCCTGATATGCAAGATATTATATGTGCTGATGAGCTGATAAATTACAAGTGCTCATTAAAGGCTTTTGAAAGTCCAATGGCGATGAGGCAAAGGGCCAAAATTGATCCAGGTACCATAGTAATAATATTCTTAAGTTCATCAAATTCAAGTAATCAAGTTTCAGTTTTATAATTCTATTATTTATTTATGATTTTATTCTATATCTTTGCAGCCCATTGGTGGAGCCAACATGAGTGTAGTTCTCCAAATTTACAAAAGTTGGCCATTCGGATCTTAAACTTAACCACTTCCTTATCTGGTTGTGAGCACAATTGGAGTACTTTTGAAAGGATAAGGCCGTAAGGGTAATTTGTATAATTGTATTAATAATACATGAACCATAGATTTTAATTAGTTCATTTGATTTTGTTAGATATATATAAAGACAAGGAACATACTTGAATCAAAGAGGCTCAATGACCTAGTCTATGTCAAGTATAATCGATTCTTGAAGGACAAGTTTGCTAAGAGAAAAGAGAGACCCCATCAGATCAAAAAATATGGACAATGCTATGGAGTGGTTAGTTGATGATGATGATAAGGTCGAGGGACATGAAGGATTGACATGGGACAAGGTCATGGATGCTTCAAGGACATCAGCTGACCCTCCTAGGGCCACTAGATCTTCTGCACAAAGAACGAGGGTGGAGGAGGAAG